TCATCACTGTGAATCCTCTAACGTTAACCCTGTGCCAAAATTATCTTTAACCCTATCCTGGCTCCCACTATCAGGGTATCTCCTTTCTGTTTTTTGTCTTTTTTATTTTTAAATTTAAATTAGAAACAAGGTGGCTTCACATGTAAATCTCAGCTCCTTCTTCCTATCACTCCCCTCCTCTCAAACCCTCCAATCAAACTCCCCATTCCCTCCAATACCGACTTTCCCAGGGGGGTGGAAGGAGAGACCCTCCTTGGGGGATCTCCAGAGTCTGTCATTTCATCCAGGGCTAAGCTTAGACTCTCCCCAAAGAGGCCAGGCTGAGAGAGCATCTCTCATTACAGGAGGGGCACCCAAAGACCATTTGCATGCCAGGGATAAATACTGATCTGCTGTCCAAGGCCCCATAGATTGCCTAGGCCTCCTCACTGACAACCACATTCAGAGGGTCTGGATCAGTCCTATGCTGGATTCCCAGCCATCAGTCTGGGGTTCAAGAGATCCCCGTTGTTCAGGTCAGCTGTTTCTGTTGGTTAAAGAAGCCCAGTCTTGAAACCTATGCTCATCAGTCCATCCTCTCTTTCACTGGGTTCCTTGATTTCAGCTCAGTGTTTAGTGGTAGATGTCTGCCTCTGCTTCCATCAGTTAATGTTTGAAGGTTCTGTTTACCAGACTCTCTGGCAGTGGGATTGTAGGCTGGCACTCCTCTGTTCCATATCCAAAATCCATATAAGAGTGAGTACATACCATGTTTGTCTTTTTGTGTTTAGGTTACCTCACTCAGGATGGTGTTTTCCAGTGTCATCCATTTGTCTGCAAATTTCAAAATTCCATGTTTTTTTTCCACTGAATAGTACTCTAATGTGTAAATGTACCACATTTCCTCTATCTACTCTTCAGTTGAGGGGCATCTAGGTTGCTTGCAGGTTCTGGCTATTAAAATCATACTGCTATTAATATAGTGGAACAGATGTCTTTGTTGTATGAGTATGCAACTTTTGGGTATATGCCCAAGAGTGGAATTGCTGGGTCTTGTGGTAGACTGATTGCCATTTTCCTGAAGAATCTCCATACTGATTTCCAAAGGGGTTCTACGAGTTTGCACTCCCACAAGCAATTGAGGAGTGTTCTCCATTCTCCACATCCCCCCCCCAGCATAAACAGTCATTGGGGTTTTTGATTTTAGCCATTCTGACAGGAGTAAGATGTTATCTTCGAGTTGTTTTTATTTGTATTTCAACCCTTGTACTGTCTGAATTGTTTTTTGAAATTTTTTCTTTGTCTTTTCCTCCATTTGTTGCATTTTTGGGATTTTTTTGGTTTATTTTTTCTTCCATTTCTTGCATTTTTTGGTTTGTTTTTGCTTCCATATCTTGCATTTTGTTGGTTTGCTTTTTATTTCCATTTCTTTAAGGAATTTTCCCAAGTCCTCTTTGAGGTCCTCTATTGTTTTCATAAAGTTGTTTTTATGGTCATGCTCTTCTGCTTCATTTGTATTAGAATGTTCGGGTCTCCAGAATCTGGCAGTGTCATATTTGTTTTTCTGTTTCTGAGTGTGTTTTTGTATTGTCTCCTTCCCATCTCTTTTTCTAGTGGGTACAGAGAGATCCTTTTCCTGGCCCAGTGGTTAGGGGAGTTCCCTTTTGGTTAGGTGAAAGCAAGTCCAATACTCCGTTAGTTCTCCTCTTCCTGGTCCTAGTCCTATTCCTTTGGGTGGAGAATAAGACCAGGAATCTGAGGTGCTTAGGCTCCTTCCTGGAGGGGAGGCTCAGTGGCCCCAAATTACCTGCTCCCATGGGTGGAGAATAAGACGAGGAAACTGGGGTGCATAGGCTCAGGCAAGGAGGGGAGGCTCAGTGGCGGTCCCCAGTCTGTCCTCAGGCACTCCTTTCTTGCCCTCTTCTATTCCTCTCTTGTCTCAGTCCTTCTGTTCCCAACCCACTCTGCTTCTCCCCCTCTCCCCGTCCCACCTTACTCCTCTTTACCCCTGGGCTCCCAATTTGCTCAGAGTTCTTATTCCCCTCCCCTTCTTCAGGATACTCCTTTTTTTATTTCTATTGTTAATATGCTTGCTTTTGTTTTGCTTTGAGACATGGTCCCATGTGTGCAGACTGGGCTCAAGCTTGCTCTCTAGACAAGAATGGCCCTAGACACTTGATCCTCTGCACTTTGTCTCCCTAATGCTAAGATTATAGGCCATGTGCCCCCACACGTGGCTATGCTACACTTCAGTTTTATAGAGTCTCCTATGTTTTCTAGACTTTATCTTAGTATAAAAATCACTATAATCACCCCCAATGTTTGCTATGAAAAGATTCATTCAGAAACCTTTTCATTTAGAACCTTTTACTTTAAAACTATTGACTAGCCAGAGACCCTAAGCCTTAAAGCCGAGTGGTGTTCTCCCTTATCACAGGCTTGTCCCAGTCTCCTCATTGGCCAGAAGCTGCCACTGAGTAGATGCCCAGGCACACTGAAGTGTGTCCTCACATGCAAATGCATCTCTTTCAAACTCTACCAAGATCTGTCATAGTTTTGAGCCATACTGTCCAACTCAATTCATTGAGCCAATGTTCCTCAAGAGCCTGTATATGTGAGAAAATGTACCAAAATTTTAGCAATGAAGAAAATGTTTGAAATTTTATCCCTAACTGAACTTAGCTCCAGTAAAATAGACTTACAACAACTACCCAAAACCCCTTGTAAGCAAAAGTAACTAAAATTGTTCAACAAGTAATCTCAAAGGCTCATTTCCAATAACCTGCTCAGGAATTAACTGGAATATGAGTCTTCCTTTTCAGTAGAATGCCCTAACTCTGTTGATAGTTCCTGTAGGACAAGGATTATCTACCCAGCTTCAATCTCATATCTTAGCTCTAAGTTTCTGATGCTCAAGTCCATACAGTGGAGCCAACACTGCACTTCATCCCATGAATAATAGAAATAAACTGGAGGACTATAGAGGGCAAAATGGCCTTGTGCACACAGAAAAGCACTGGAGAAGCCAGGAACATAAATACACTGTTTATCTCTTCACTGAAATGAGGTGCACAGCCGGTTACCCAGAATGCTAGTGGGGGGGGGGAGTTGTTTATAGCCTGGCAATCCATTGTTACCTGTTGAGACAGTCTCAGCCAAAATCTTCGAGAATTATGCTTTACTTACCCCAGACCCTTTCCCCATAAAACCTTGAGCATTTCTTCTAAGCCATAAAAGCTTGCGAGAGATGTCATTTGTACAATAGCCTAAGTGACTTCTATGTTATGTTAACACCAGACCAATCCTGCCACCCATAGACATTATGTTTACCTCAGTCAACCTCCTTAGACTCTAAATCTTGGGCACTATCTCTGAGTCAACAATACCCATTCTTGTGAAAAAGCCAGATGTAATGAATAAAGAATCTCAATGCAAATGAGTCTTAATTTATTGTGTACTTGGGACAAAGCTAATTCTTATCAGAAAACTTTTTTCCCAAAATTGTGCTGTGATTTATAATATGGCTAAAATAAAACATTCTGGGCCAGACTAGAAATTCTGATCCACAGCAGGTTACAATAAAATCAGGCTGCCTTGAATTTCATTCTTGTCTCTTCATGGATTGGTTTTTCCTGCCTGCTGTGAAACCTTCAGGTAATCACCACAAACAATACTCCTTAGGAATAGAAAGTGAGCGGAGAGAGAAAAGTGAGTGGAGATTATCCAGAGGGGCCACAAACAGTTTAGGAACCTGCTGCCTTCATCCATCATCCTTCATCATGTTACACCATTTAACATCTTAGCCTTTTGTATGAGTTTGGGGATAGATTGAGAAATGAGATAGTCCATAGGGAGTAACTGAGGAGAGATTACTTGCCAGTAGAAAAAAATCTCTAGGAAGGCTTCATTAAGGAAGTCACATTTAAGACATGAAGGATAAGCATGATGCATCAAGTCGGATAGCCTAAGGAGTAGGGCACACCATGGCTAAGAATTTGAATGAGTCAATGTCCAGAGATGGAAACACACCTGACTTCTTCAGGTTTGGTAGTCTATAGTTGATATGGAGTAAGGGTGTGTAAGTTGCAATTAGTGTTTGAAGCAGGCAGACTAACTCAGACAGATAATGTATTTACTTGTTTTTCCTAAGCGTAATTCATAGAAAAAGGAAGGGAGAATTGTGTGATACACTTTAATTGTTCCCAAGATCATTCAGTGTTCATCTCTAAATACTGGAAAGAGTCTAGTAGAGAATGGATACCTACTAAGTGGTTGTGGTGCAGCTTTATAATGAGGTTGGCGTGGACCAGGATGATAGTCCTAGAGATGATAACAAAAGATGTTTACATTTGTGATGTTGGTGCTTATTTATCATTTGCATGTGTGAGTGTCTGTGCTCACACAAATGCAAAAAGAGCATGTATGGAGGTTGGAGGGCAACTTATATCCTTTCATGATGTAGCTTCTGGGGATTGAATTCACTGTATCATACTGGTGTCAGGTGCCTTTCCCCACTGAGTCATCTTTCTGTCCCTGTTTATCCATTTTGCTGGGGGAGTTGGCAGTGGTCAGAGCAAGGGACATTGAGAAAACCTCCCAGATTTGTCTTGGGTGTCTAGGTAGAATGATACTACCTGTTGCAATGAGGAAAATGGGAGAGGGGCCTTTGGAAAGGTTTGAATATCACCATTTCGATGACCTTTGGTTGGCCTTTTGCTGGAAATATATCATGTACTTGATCCTTTCAGAATTAGGGTGAGAAAGAACACCTTTTTGGCATGAATTGCTATACTTTCTTGTTTTCCATTAGCTTCCTTCTGCCAGGGATTTCGCAAATGTCTTCCACACCCATTAAATGAACCCCTGTTACTCTCAGTGTGTAAGCATCTCAACAGGGGCCACACACCCAAGCCTAAAGATATGTTACTGGGTGCTCTTGGATTATTATTTCTGGGAGAGTGCTTCCTCATTCTTAACAAATATATTTACTTCCGCACACATGCCCTTCAGGTGACAGGACACTCAGCTGCCCAGACAAGCTCTTGCCTTTTTGGAGTTCACACTCTGGGGAGATCTGACAAGAAGTAGTGATGGAAACAAATCTCAGTGGTAACGTGTGTTAGGAGAAAAAGGAGGCTGCAAAATGCAGTGGGGAAAGCGGGCTACACAGAAAGGTTCATAGAAGGATTGCTAAGAAGGTAATATATGGCTTTGTAAATTGTCTGATAGGAATTAAGGCTGTTCTACAAAATACAGTGCCTCGATCTTAGTTATACTATTGAAATGGTGGAAACTGAGAAACTGGAATCTCATATTGCCAGAAGAATAAGACTAAAGACTTGGCCAGACAGAAGAAGATCTCACCCTGAAAGACTTTTATAACTTATCAGACCTCTTTGAAGGAGAGGCTGGAGCCAAAAAAAAATCTCATGGGGGCACACCATAATCAAAATTGCTTAACCCTCTACTTAAATGTCAGATCCATTCCAGCACCCCTAAAACTGGACGTGGAAAGGGAAACTCTTCCCAGTATATCTCACTGAATAAATCTGTTTCTGCTTTTCATGGAAAATTCAGATCTTTTAATTGGCTTATTGAGGATGGGCAACTGAGTCTGACTTATGACCAGAGGACAGCATCATAACAAGTTGAGAAGTGTTGACTCCACAGTTCAAGGTAAAATATGCTCTGTATGGTGGAAAAGTTTTCATGAGAGTAATCCCAGAGGATGGTCAAGATGACTACAGATTGGTGTATGGTAGAGTTCTGGCCATTTGGTTGGGTGGAACTCTCCAGATTTTAATTTTCTTTATTGCTCAGGCAACTAAGCCTACATCCCATATCATATGTATGTTGTTTACCACACAGGACCTAACTAGGGCTGGAAAACATTAAAGACACAATGGGATGGAACTGAACTAGCTGAGAATTGGAGAAGGATGAGTCAGGACAGATTACCAAGTAAGAGCAACTGCTCTCTCCCTCTGGCTTGTATACTACATTTGAGCTTACTCTCAGTCAGCTCCCTTGCTTCCGGCACATACCTTCCTGTGTTGTGCTCTGGATCTCTCCATGGAGACCTCCCCCACCCTCACATCTACAGGCAACCTCATCCTGACAGTCTTCTCTGCTCTTCTGTGGAAGATCAGCCCTCCCTCTAGCCACCCTTGACTTCTCCTATACCGACAGCAGGAAACACTCCTCTGGGAACTGCACACAATCAATGCTGCCCTCACCAAAGGTCTTTATGGTGGCATAGCACCATAATGCTCAAGTGAAAATACTATTTACACCTCCCTATATACACACAGCCAGAACAAACCCATCTCCCAGGTTAAGAGAGGGAGGGAAGGGGAGGAAGCAACACAGTGGGAAACAAGGAGCCTCATCAAGTCCTGTGGCAGAATTAAAAACTTCTCCAGGGAAGCCCACCTTCCAGTGCTGCAGCCCATGGAGTTCCCGAGACACAACCAAGTTAAGGCAAATCAGAGAGGACTAGGAAGACTAGGAATCCTTTGATACAAGGAAGGGAAAGCAGTGGTATATGGGAAACCAGGAAAGCTTTCTTGTATTAGTTAAGAAATAACTATAAGTTCTCAGCAAAATGCTTACCGAAGTTCCTCCAGGCCAGCAGCTTTTGTGCTAAATTGAAGGATTACAGGGCCAGCAGGGAGGTGAGCTTTGGCAGCAGGCAGGAGGTGTTGGAGGGTGGGTAGGTGGGATTTGGGGTGGGGGGTGTCCTTATCAGTTTCTAGGTGACAATGTAGAGAAAGGCTGAAAGAAAGGCATGGGAGATCCTGCAGAGCAAGAAGAGGTCCCACAGAGCATCCTATCCCCAAAGCTGCTCTTTGGGTTTTAAAAGCCTTCACTGTGTTGAAACATGGCTGGGAGTGTTTACTCCAAATATCCCAAAGACAATATTCATTCACCTCTTCACACTAGTGTCTGGACTGGGATTTGGGCCAACCCTCACTCATATCTTCCAAGCAGCTGTGCTATGGAAAAGAAGAAAAAGGCACCATAGTGAAAGCCCCAACCCCCAACTGGTTGGTATTACTGGACCTCTGACTGAGACAGAACTGCTTATAACACCTTGAGTGTTCTCAGCTTCTGGATAAGGACAAGAGGAAGGAATGCTCATTTTTGAGGTTCCCACCCTAAAACTACCTGAACTTTTTCTCCTGTTCACAATATCTTTGAGGAACAAAAGCTCCATTTTTTTACAAAAACTAGACTTTAATTATGCTATTAGCCATTAGGTCAACAAGGCCAGGACTACATAAAAAGATGTGTCATTACTTTTTAATTGTTACTAATTGCAGCCTGATATTGTTTGCATCTTGATTATTTGGTTCAATTTCCTTGAAAAGCAGTGGACTTTGCCCTGGTCTTGATAAAACTTCTGTGTTTATGATTTCTTATCAGTCTTTGCCCAAGGATGGTGACATCAACTCACTCACAGAAAAGTGGGCCATCATACTAGAGGCACCAAATGGAACAGAGTTTAAGAGACTCAAACAGGACCTCAAGTGTTGGCAAGGCCTCCCAAAGAAAAAAATTCAGAAGAATGAGGAAAAAGGCATTTGACTCTACCCCATAGACGGGGTGCTTATTTCTCCACATTTGCCAAAGCGTCACTGTTTATTCAGAGGTACACAGACAGTCTAAGGATGCCTGTTGTTTGGGCTTTCGTAAATGATCTTGCAGTCACTCATTAATGCAGGGATATGAGCTGGGAAACAGGATGTGTTATAAGCCTGCTCTTTTGTAGGTTCCCAGCCATCATTTTTGCTTGTTCATCCACTCCACCCTCTTTCTCTTTTTCTGAGATTTTAAAGTTTTATTATCTTGGTATTATGGACATTTTAGACCATGGACATTTTAGACCAAATAAATTACATTTGAAATTTTTTATTATTATTATCATTATCTTTATTGTTATTAATTGTGAATGTGAGTCTGTTTTTCCTGTGTGATACACCTATGAATGAAGGTATGTGTGCTATGGAACATATATAGAACACAGAGGAAAACTTATGGAAGTCAATTCTCTTTCTGTGATTGGGTGCCAGGATTAATCTCAGGTTCTCAGGCACATATACCAAATACTCCTGAAGCCATCTTGTGGGCCCCCAATTGTTATTTTGTCATAAGAAAACATACAATAATGTATTTGGTTTTCTTTACATTTCTCTAGGACAGCAACAATCTATATTTGTGGTTGTTATTTTGTGTTGGGGGGATGTTGAGTGGGAATTAAGATTCACTAGACTCTGTGACCAGGCCCATTTGGGCTTGGGGAGTGCTACAGGTATGGCCATGGGGGAGATCTCACTACAGGGGCAGAGGGTACAGTGAACTTTATTGATGGTAATCACGAAAAAAAGTAGGACTTCCTAACCCTTTTCCCTTCTTACGGATGTTTGGGACAGAAGCTAAGGGGAGATGCTCAGTGCTGGGGACTGAGTTGAGACAGTGACTTCTTAGCAGCTGAAGGCTTTTCGTGCTCATATTCTCGTTAGGGTAGATGGTCCAGGACTTTTTACATTTTTGGAGTCATACAGTCTAAGAAGTTTACCACTCTGTTGCAGTAGTCACTTTTGTTGTCATACAAGGAACTGAGATGTATGAAATTGTCATTGAGATCAATACCAGTCCCAACATCAATGGTGAAAGAGTAGGCATTATTATTAAAGCCATGGAAGACAACTTGGTTCTCAGTGTAGCCCAGGATGCCCTATAGTAGACAATCCAATGCCTGCTTCATCACCTTTTTATCATACATTACATCCTTCTCCAGGCAGCATGTAACATCCATGATGCATACATTGGGGGTAGAAACATGCAAGACCATGCCAGGAAGCTTCACCCTCAGCTCTGTCATGACCTGACCCATGGACTTGTCAGCACCAATAGATGCTTAACTGGTATTCAAGTCAGTGCAGTGGCCATCATGCCACAATCTCCCAGAAGTGCTATCCACAGTCTTCTAGATGGTAATGATGTCATGAACTATGAACATGAGTCCCTCTACAAAGCCAAAGTTGTCTGGATGATCTTGGCTAGAAAGCTAAGCAGTTGGTAGTACAGAAATCATTGTTGGCAGTCTTGAGTGAGTTCTTATACTTCTCAAGGTTCACACTCATCACAAATGTGAGGGCATCAGCAGAAGGTGGAGAGATGATGACCTTTTGGCAACACTCTTCCAGTGGGCCCCAGGATTTCCATGGTGGTAAGGATGCTAGTAGACTCCACAGCATACTTGGTACCAGAATCATCATCCTGTCTCCAGGACAAAGCTGGCAGTGCACTAAATAATGCAACTATCTCTGGAACAGGGAGAAGCAAAGAGCCATGTCTGCTCTTAAACGTCATTTTGATATATAAGGGATTATTCATTATCTTCTTTTGTTTAAGTTTGAGTCTAACAATGCGGTTTGGGCTTATGTCATACTCACTCACTAGCTCATACTCGCCTTGCTCATGGTAATCCCCTGCATCAGCATTTTGGAAATTTGAATTATAGGTTTGGACAACCAAATTCCAAGTAGTATTATCCCACTTTATAAATGTACCACTGAAGCTACTATTGTTACATGCTAACAAGGCTAGAAGCAGAAATAGGAAGCCTGGGAAATTCAAGGACAGAATCATATCCTCCTTTATAACACTGTATTTAAAATTCAAATAGCAAACTTAACTCAAAACTTCACCTTAAACTATGTATTTTCCTGAAAGTGTTGTTTTTCTGTTCAGTCTGGAGGTTACAGACAGATGGAAGGAGGAGGGGTGTCATAATTGAGAGCTCAGAAGATTTTCTTTGGTCTGGTGAATGGTCCTCTGGGGGAGCATGATTAAATGAGCCTCTGTTTTGGTAGACAAAAAGAATTCATTTTCAGGGGAAATAAATTAAGTGAGCTCACCACCTGGCTGTTTCGCCTGAAACAGTCCTCTGTTTTCCCAACTCGGCAGGGACTGATCACTCGCCACTTGTGGCTGTTCCAGTTTCTGAGCAGAGATGCACTTTGCTTTCTCTCCTCTTCCAATAGCTGCTACCCCTGCATCAGCCCTGAATATAAGCATCCAGCCATTGTTAGTCCACTAAAAAGCCAAAACCCACAGCATCTTGTTATACTATAATGGATGAGTGCCTCATGTGGGGCAGTAGAATGACTGGGGCTGTGGTCAGGACATAGTTCTCCCTTACTAGAGATATACAGGTTTAGAACAAAGTTTGTCCCACCAGGTTTAGATACTGAACTCTGGGTCGTGTACATGCTAAACAAGTACTCTGTCAAGGAGTTACAGCCCTGGAAAGAGTCAATTTAGATGAAATTTAGAGTGTCCTTCAACTCTTGGAGTCAATCATTTTATACAAAGGGACCTTTGGGGACACAATTCCTCCTTGCTGCTGACCACTGTCACATCCCTAAAGCTTTCTCCTTCAGAAACTGAAGTTGAGAGTCTCCTCTACTTCTACTGTGATATCCATCCTTGGCTACAGGATGATTGAATCTCAAAAGCTGCATTGTAAATGAACGCAGCAATCCAGACTGACAAACAAGAAAAACAAAATAACAACAAAAATCTATCAAGGCATCTGTGAAAGAATTACTTAGGTATTTCAAAACGATTTCAAAAGTAAGTAAATGCACCAAGCAAAGGAGGCTGAAGTCAAACTCACCAAGAGTGAGGAACTTGGCAGTGTTTTCCTACCTTTTTACCAAAATAGTTTTACAATTGTCTTTAAATAATCACAATAGAAACCATAATGTCCTCTTTTTCTTCCTCCTCCTCTCTTAGTCTATTCTCTTTCTCCTGCCCCCTCTCACAGTAGGACCATTTTTTCTCCCAAATAGTAAACGCTGTCCCATTTCTGTCTTCTACTCTTATACATACACAAGTGTGTGTGTGTGTGTGTGTGCGTGTGTGTGTGTGTGTGTGTGTGTGTGTGTGAGAGAGAGAGAGAGAGAGAGAAAGAGAGAGAGAGACAGAGAGAGGGGGGGTTCTTTTTCTGAGCCCTGCCATATTTCACTTAATATGATAATCTCTAAAGCTTTCCATATTCTGCAATGAATCTTGGGATTTTTATAAAGCCTAAAATTGGCTTATCTTAAGCTATAGAGACCTCCACCTCATCCCTAAACCTGTCCTGCAGGAGCACCTGTCACTATTAGATTCATTTTTTATCATCTTATGTTTGCATTTTGTTGGATTCTATCTCTTTAAGACTTAGCTTCCCCACACATTCCATTCAATTCCTAAAATACTCCTGACCTTCTTTCCATCCATATTAGGAAACAAATTTATAAGTGTGTTGATGAAATGTGCTGAAAGTCACTTAAATTTTTATCTATGTATGTGTTTGTTTGTGCCCTAGCATGCAGAGTTGAGAGACATCTTGTGGGAGTCAGTTTTCTCCTTATACCAATGAGTCAAGATTTTGAATTCAGAATATCAGGCTTAGTGACAAGCACTTTTACCAGCTGAGCCATCTTGCTGGTTAGTTTCACCTGGACTGTCTCCTTTGTCTGTATTTTTACTCTCTTATTGATCTACTTGCCTCCAGAAGCTATCTTCATATTTTCATAAAAACTCACATCACTTCACTACTGAGTACTAGAGTGTTGATGTTGTTTTTCATGTTCAACCAATCATGTATCCACAGAGATTTTACTTTCTGCTTTTTGTCTCAGTAGCACTGAGTTTGGAAACCTCTATCTGATTTTTGTCTCATAAAAATAAAAGGAAGTTCTACATTTCTCGGGGAACAATAACCAAGTAGTGCACCATAAACAAAATAGTCCTGGGCCCACATCTACTGGAGGAGGGGCTGGTCTTTGGTGAACGGTCTTAGGCCTCAGTGAGGAAATAGGAGCACTACATACCTGAGAATAAACCAGAGTTGAAAGCCTTGAAGGAAAAAATCACCATCTTCATTTTATGGAAAGAAAAACTTGGAAACATACAGCATGAATGAATTATGTACTTACAGTACCCAATGGGCCTGTCCCAGCTTCCTTACTTTGAGCCATGCTGAGGTAAATATTAGTCTTTTGACTCTTAGAAGAGTCCTGTAACCACTTTATCACAGATGAAACAGATGGAGAGAAGTGAAGTTACTTACCGTATGATATAAACCAGGAACTGTCAATGTTAGTTAGTATTTAAAGTCACGATGGGCCTTGAAAACCAGTATTTTATTCTTTTTGCAAAGTTGGACTGCACGTGTAACTTAGATTGGATCAAGTTGCAATCCTAAAAACAGGTACCATATCCACAGAAATCACTTGAATATGCTATGAATAAAATTTCCCTGCTGAAGCTGCTTGATGCCTCCCACAATCTTAATATATATATTTAAACCTGAGTCCTTTATAAAAAAACATCTGATTGTTTATCTTTTTCCTCCCAGTATTCTCTCTTGCTTCTGTTCACCCCCATATTAGACTCTTTCCTTTCTCTTTACAACTTTCATATCATCTATAAATTTATATATTAATTATCTATCATCTAACATCAAGTATTTTATCTGTATATGTATGCAGATATATATAGATGTGTAGATATAGACAGACAGATTGCTAGATACACATAAATATCTGTTTATTATTCTGTCTGTCTGTTCATCCATCCACCCACTCATCCATCAACCCATCCATCAGCTATTCCATCAATGTTTAGTTCTCTCTCTCTCTCTCCCTCTTTCTGTGTGTGTGTGTGTGTGTGAGAGAGAGA